TTATCAAAATTAATATACTTTGTTTATGTATTTACCTATAAAGATTACAATGCATTGTTATATCAGTTGGGTAGTCTTGCTGTTAGTAATCATTTCTGCCATAAATGCAATAATATTTCACAAGGTTTGGCCAGTTTAAGAGATTTAAGCTAGTCCTAAATTCAAATTCTAACCTAATAATACAAATCATTCTTTATAATAAAAGTATAATAATGAAGACAAAATAAAATAAAATAATTATACTCAATATAGTAACTGGTTTAACAAATACTATTATGAAAGGAAAAATACATAAACAAAGTAGCATACCTAACTTAGGGAACCCACAAACACGAGTTCCTGTCTTGAAGCATAGTCATCTGTATATAACACAAAAATCTGTGTATGTGTGTGTCTGTTTGTCCATTATCTAACTATTCCTAGGTCTCTGGACCAATATCAACCAAACAAGGGGCATGTTAATGGTGGGTTAATAAACCCTTCCACCCAATGTTATCGCTGTTATTGAGCAGTTATTATCTTTGACGTAAGTTAGCATTAACTACATTCATAGATAGTGCCATATTCTTACACACAGAAAAATTACTGAATTTTATATAACACAACATACACAAAGTTTAGGGGGAGAACACACAAACATCTTATATATATCTCAGAGTGTGCACTAGCACTCTCTATGGAGGAATGCAATGAAAAAATGGCTGCCACTATTGCAATAATACATAAACGTAGGCGAAGTTTCTACTCCAACAGCCACCATAAAACTGACATGAAGAGCTGTTTCTTCAGTTATACCCACTTCCTACTTTGATCCATAAGACATTTTTGCAGCCAATGACCATCAATTAATTAATCATGTGAAACACTGTGGATGGATGTTAAGAGCTGGATGTTGAAAGAGAGTAACAGAAACACCCCTACTACCGCTACTTTGGCTGCTACCTCTTAATAGAAATTTACCCTGACCATCGCAGAGAGTACACCATGTTTTAAGTATATACATATTGAGTTCTTAAACCTTATACAAAACTTTTGGTGAGGTAATGATGAATACTGTAATAACATGTTTTTTTAATAAATAAACTGTGTGAAAGTTAGAATTTTTGTGTTAATTATCATAGCATCAAACAGTGCTGAAGTTTTGTTTAACTCTGTCGAGCCCACATGGGTGCATCCTTCCTTGAGAGCTAAATTGCACCTAATTAAAAAAAAACTTATAGAAATCAAATTTGTAGTCATTCTTCCACACACTAAAAAAATAACAGGTTTAATTCTGTGTTAGTCTTCTGGTGCCAACAGATGGAAGCACGTACACATTTATTGTTCTTAGTAGCTTCATTATTCAGCTAGCTTGTGTTAAATTGTTACACTTAGTTTAGGTGGTAATAAAGAAACAAATTGTAATGTTCATTGTTAATTTTTTGATAATTAAAGGAAAATATTTTGAATGTTAGTGTTTTTTGTTTCAAAAATAATAGCTTATTATTATTTAAATATTTTAAAATTAGTTTTCATGATGGAGTCTGCTCGAACCCTAGAAGAGTGACTATGAAAAATTTTTACAGAAGACTAATGCAAGGTTAAATAAAAAACTGAAAGTTTCCATTTTAGGTTGATTTCAGCAAGCTCTGAATGAAATCATTAATGTTTGTGAATTTCCTGAATTTTTTTCTGAAAATAATACAACACTCATAGCATCCTTGGGGGGGAGGGGAGTCCTGATAAGTTTGAACAAAAAAGCACTCATTTGACATTGAAACTTAAACTTAAGTGTAGTTTTATCCATTTTTAGAAAAACGCTTTCTCAACCTCAGTTGTCATGGTGTGGAGTGATTGTTTATATCTCATCTTGAAGGAGGCATAGGCAAGTGAGCTAAATGCATAAGGAAAGCTGTTTTTCTGTTCTTTGCAACTGTATAAGCCACTATGGCTTCCATTTCAGATAATATTCATGTACAGATTGGTGATATATTGTTAGATGGGATGTTTATGAATAACTTCTGTAACAATGACAGTCCTAATTTTTTTTAAAGCTTGCAAAAAGTCTGCTTTATCATTTTATACTTTATTTCAATATTGATATTTCAGTATGATAGGAAAATATCTTTGTGAAACAAGGCCAGTTAGGCTTAATTTTTTGCACTTGACCACACCAAGTTAAATTTTGCCAACAAAGCTGCTGCGTTGAGTTTTGTTTACATTAGGCCTTATTGGCCTAACTGTTTGAATGGGCAATAAAATCAGCAAGCATACAAATTAATACAAAACAGGATTAAAATGTGGGCATATTAAATGGTACCTTTTAATTAAACCAAAAAATGATTTGCTTATAATTTTGCTTTAGTAAAAGTTATTTTTACTGTATGTGATCATAAACACAATATGAAATTGCATACAGTGTTTTATGAACCAAACAAAGATAAAATTTTTATGTTTATGAAATAAATCTTTACAGAAATGTTTTACAAAAATGTAGGATGATATAAAAATCAGTAATTAAATTGTACAACAAGGCTGAACATTTTTACTGTTTTTTAAAAAAATGCCACAAATAATTTTTTGTAATTTTCAAATTCATACAAATATCAAATATAAAAATAAGTTATTTTATTTAAAAAAGCAACATAATCTGTAGAAAATAATTCTGTTTCAAGTTTCAAACTTTCATGCAGTAGTTTTTTTGTTTTTTTTTGCAATGCAATAAAACAAACTGTAGAACAGGTTCAGTGAAGTGATGCCTCCAGACATAGTGGTTAAATTTAGACCAATTCACATTTACTTAAATAGTTAAATCTCATATAACAATTTCAAACCAAGATGTTTTCTCACATAATAAAGAATCTCTTGCTCATGGTATTCATTGCAATTTCATAAGCTAGTTGCAAAGGAAAAATGCCATCACAGATTCGTCTAGAAATATTAACTAGAAACATTAACATATGCAAGAAAAATAAGTTTTTACTCTTAGTATTTTATCCTTCTAGTTTACTTTAATAATTCTGATTGAAACAATACATTTCATTGTGTAAAGTCATGATAGGACATTAAGATATAATTAAGACTGTAAAAGTTGTAAAACATTCTCAATTAAACAATTACACAAGAGCTAAAACGTCTTTGGTTAAGTCAAGTGTTACAATGGATCGTAAGCTTTATCTTTTGTGCAACTGCCACAATATATTCACAAACAAAACTTACATTTGTACCACACAAGCACAAAAACATAAAAATAATCAATAAATACAGGGATTAAAAACCACATGAAATGTTAAAAAGAATAAAAATTGAACAGTTTTAGTTGTTACTTTTTTTACAGTTATATCTGTTCTTGTTTTTACATTAAAAAATAGAGTTGAGTACATATCCTAATGTTCAATATAAACGTAAATCAATTTTAGAAACAGAAGATGGTGCAACATGTCTTTAAGGATCCATTTTTAAGAAATGTAATAATTTGTAACCTTATACACAATTGTGCACAGCCAACTTTTTAAAGTATATACATATAGATAAATAGGAAAATTAATTAAATAGAGTAATACCCTGTTTAGTGCTCAGGAAGGGTTTGTGAGAACAGAGCTCTAAACAGGGTCATTTAACATTACATGTATGGTAATATGTAAGTGAAGGCATTGTTTCTCACCTGTGAATGATGTATAAGTGCTTTATTTAGGTACTGGTAAATTTAACATAAATTACTCACTATAATATCATCGTTGCTGGAAAAAAGCAGATTTTTATTAGTCTTCAATCTTGTTTGGTTACAGAGCCACCAAATAGAAAACCAGACCCCTCTCGCAATGCCCACCTGTCACATCCTCTTATGTTTACGACTATATTAGTTATAATCAATAGACAGGCAAGATTTTCATCTATAAAATGACGTATTATATTATGTTGTTTTCTGTACAGAGATTTGTAGATCACTTCCTAAGATATTGTGTAGATGGATGACATTTTAATGTTTTATATTGCATCTCTAGAAACCCCAGAAAAAGTGTGACAGTTACGGGACGTTGTCTGCTTTTTGCATGTTATTGTCATATGTTCTTTGTTGCATTATTTCATTAAATAAAATCTATTTAGTGCACTACTACCATTAGTATGAAAAAGTAATGTTCAGAGACTTACGGATTTTCATAATTTTTTTTCTCTCTCTCAGGAAAAAAATTCTCTCTCAAGGAGGCAAGAGATCTATAACAAATCAGCATAAAGCAGGGTGGTGCTAAGTGTGGTCTTACAGTACTTTATAAGCACTGGTACTATATACTCAAACTCAACAGCATAAATTTGCTAATAAAATACACAATCTACTATACCTGATGATACGAACAACTTCTTGAAAAGCAGCATCTACATTGAGTGGTGGATCTTTGGCACTTGTCTCTATGTAAGGGATCTGAAAAACAAGGAAGACATCTTTACATAGTTTACACTTTTCTTATGAGTATTATTAATTTAATTGTTATATTTTTTTTGCTCAGTTTAGAAGTGCTAAAAAAAGAAAACTATAAACAGTAAATAAAATACTTAAATTTAACTAAGTTCAGAGTAAGCTTTATGATAAAAAATTTACAGGGCATGATATTCTATGGTATTTGAAGAAAAAAAAAAAGAGTATTAAGAATGTTTCTGTGACGTGTGTTAATCACACACATTAAAAATCAAATACATACTGTTACATGTGCATGATGCTTCAAAGATATCCAGAGCAGTACTTTAATTATCATCAGTTTCAAATTCATGTATAAGTATGCGTGAACAGTACACAAGCATTACACACAGACTGACAAATGGCCAACAAATGTTCCTGCTGCAAATATTATTCTCCCATACAGAAAGGTCAACTAACTTCTGGACCATTCTGTATTAGAAAAAATTACCATATTTCTATTAAGATATAGTGAGATTTGGTTTTACTAGTTCTGTACAGCTACTGTAGGGTTAACTGTATTATTCCACTCTGTCCCACAGTGGAACAGCAATAAGTTTATTAACTTACAATGGTAAAATACAGGGTTCTATTCCACATGATGAACACAGCAGTTAGCCTAATGTGGTTTAGCTCTAAAACAAACAAACAATTATTCCACTGTGATAATGCCATAAATAGCTTGCACTCTTAACTACTTCTCATCTGGATAAGAATGCATCTCCATAAAAGGTAAATAAATAACAACTTGGTCAGTCAAAATATAAGTATTTATTGCAATACATACATGGTGCAGTTTTCAAAGATTTGTATAACTCATATATTATATTATATCTCCATTCAAATAACTGTCATCTAAACTTTTTCTGTGCTTACTTTTAGCAAAGCTGCCAATTCTTTTCCTTGTTCTTCTGACACAACTCTAAGGTGAACTAAATCAACCTTATTGGCTACCAGCAACATAGGATAGGTATCCCTAAACAAAACATTTAACAGTTATTTCTATAACTCTCTGCTTACACATACATTATTATATGAAATAATATAACAATTCATCAAAGTTAAATTTACAGAACAATCAAGCATATTGATATATAAAAGAAAATAAGGTGAAAACTATAAATGTATTTCATACAAAAAGAAAGCATTTCAGGAAGATTTCATTAAAGCACAAATAAACATTCATGTGCTTTACATATTCTGCATGCACTTTAATTTTACGACTTTCAGAAATTAGTATATTTCAAATTATTTTGGCACTTTGGAAAAATAATTTTGTATTTAAAAGAACAGTTTAGGTTATGCCAACCATAACAGAAAATCAATAATCAAGTGCTGTTTCAGGTTATTAAGCCTAATTTAACTTCAGTTTTTTAAAATGAACATTTTCCAATAGCTACTCATCTCCATGCACAGATTAGCTATTTTCCTCTTGAAATTGTGCTCTTCTGGTTGTGCTTGTCACAAAAAGAATCAGTAGTTTTATGAATGTAAAAAAGCTTTCTGTCACACCTGCTAACTCATAAAAACCACTGACCCTTTTTCTGACAAGCACAACCAGAGAAACTGTAAAATTTCTAAAGACATTATTTGCACAACATAAAACACTATTTAAATTATACAGTATAAACAATGCACTCACCAGCATGTAGGACATACCCAAATGATTCTTAAAGAACATTTCAACAACGATAAATTTCTATTAACAATGTTACGCTAATCGGCATTGAAACCAACTTTAAAACTAAAGCTGATAGAGAGATAAAAGAAGCTTATTGGATTGCTAATCTAAATACTGTTCAACCTAGTTGGAATAAGTCTAGATCTTGGAATCAGTGATCTCTGATCATTGGCTTGTTCTCTGTAAGAAAAAAATATATAATTTTCATGTAGTGTAAACTCAATGTTCATCCTTAATATTTCTAATACTTACTATTTATTTGTGACAATTTTCTATGCCTGTCTGTATAAGTTGATCTGCTTAACATTTCTTTTTCAGTCAATCTCCATGTGTCATTTTTATTTTACTTTAACAACACTACAGTATAGTTTTTCTTGACTATTTGTAAAGCAAAACATCTCTTAACACTTTTTTACATAATGTTCTCATTTCCAGCCATGTTGAGACACTGAAATGAGCCACATTTAACAACAGCACATTGAAAATATACAAAACACTTCCTGGAAACCCAGGTAACCATCATGACATTACTCAATTCCCTATATATATCATTCATTCATTTACACCACCATTCCCAGTTTACCCCTGAGGAAGAAAGGTCCACCTTTTCAAAAGCACTCAGGTTATAGGGTTTTTATCATTTTATATTAAGACTTCTTAAACCCACGTGTTTTTCTGACATAATGAATGATGACCCCATTCCTACCAGTGCCTTAAAGTCACTATTTTGCTTCTTATACTTCTAGCATTACAATAGTTACAATTAAGTCTATCTTTAAAGCTACATCTATACTCACTTCCTATGCTAAAATTTTCTCCCTATCTTATGTTTTTGCATTTAGTTATTCGTGGCCATCACCACTGTCTAGTCCTAATTTAAAGCTTCTTTTACAGCTGAGTTAACATTTTCTAACAACAATGAAAATGTATTTCTGGTGGATACTTACCTCTCTCATCCAAGGCTATCTCAACCTTGATTTGCCCTCTAAGCATTGTTCAAAATTTTTCAACAGCACATCAGTCTTTTATGCCCCTTCATTTTTGTACCATTGCAGCAACATGTGCTGATCATGTAACTACCCTTCACCAATCATACTGTGCCACCATACAAGCACAGGTAGCTCCCTCTACCATTGCAGCACAATCCTCACTTTTGAGAATTGGCAGATACAAACCCGAAACAACAACAAATCAGTGGGGAGAAAGGGTAAGAAGTGAGTGAGCAGAAGTCAGTACCTATCAGAAATACATTTTCAGTGTAAGAAAATGTTAACTTCCAAAACAGTACCACCTCCGCAAACCCAAAGCTAGAATCCCACACTGTAAAGATGGAGGAGACGGTAAAGGTGCAAAAGTTATCAAACAAGCAAAGTCAAATTTGAAGAAGGTGCCTGGAATCAGACATAAGAATACATGGCTAGGGTAAAAGAACTGCCATCTGAAATTATGGAGTATGTCAAGTGTGGTCCATCTGGGAAGAAAACATCCAGTGGAAGCACCATGCACAAATTTGCTTGTTTCATATCTTGTACATAAGTTATTTAAAGATCAACATGTGCAGTCGGCCCAGGCAGAAACATCTGTGTGAAGCGTCTTGTGATATTATTGAGTATGTCAAGTACAGTCCATCCAGGCAGAAAACATCCAGTGGAAACACCTTGCATAAGAAAATTATTTTGTGAACAACAAGTGCAGTCAGTCCAGGCAAAAACATCTGGGAGAAGCATCTTGTGTTTTATTTAGCATAGCCAGTGCAGTCCATCTGGAAAGAAAACATCCAATAGAAGCACTAAAAATGAAACCTTCATGGCCCACTACCCAAGGGACTGGGAACTGGAAGTGGCAAGGACTCCCATTCTCCACTAGAAGAAAAGTGGGGGATATGCATTGGAGAGTCCAGAGGAATGACACACTGGAGACAGTGCAATAGGTGTCCACGATTCCCTATTTTGAAAAGCAGAAAGACCCTGATTGTAAGAATCATGGGTCAGTAGGAATGGGCAAAAATCACCATCTGCTTTATTTATAAAGTCCATGAGTGACAGTCTTTATATATGATACGGTGATAAGAAAAAAAAAAGATATGTACACACCACTGGATAAGTGGCCAGTGGTCTTACAGAAACACCCCATCTCCACAGCGAGTATTATGGAAGTATACAGATTTAGTGCCAAGATATAATATTTAGTATACCTGACCATGCAACACCCACCATCAAGTGGGATCCTGAAATATGATGTATGTCAATGAATTAATGTAAAAAAGAATATCGACTTACCCAAAGGCAAAGGCAAATTGATGTGTGTAGAATCTCCACAGGAGGAAGAAATAGTTAGATGACAAGTTTGGTGTGAAGAAACATGATGTAGACAGCAAACGTCCATGGACAAATCAGAATACAGCAGTTGTATGAGTTGACAAACCTAACCAGTGAGTGTAACAGGTAAAAAGATCATGGGAACCAGAGGAATTCTATGGATCAAAGAGACAGGAATGAGAATAACATAAAAAGGCAGGTAATGAAATGGACAAAGTATACGATCCGGATCCAAATTGGAGAACAGGTGGGAAAAGGAAGGTCTAATCAAGATAGTGAATAACATACGAGGAATGGAAAGGATGCAGAAAACATTAATAGCATAAATACTGGAACGACGACAGCCTCATACCAGGAGGGGGAGGAAATAGGTCTTAAGGGAAATGATACAATGAACACATTACAAAAAGTTCAAAAGGAGAACTGAACAGAGTATGAAGGACAACACTGAGATTCCAAACCAGCAGAGTAAAGTAACGTGGATAATGAGGGTAGGCATATAGGTGAAGACTCCTCCAATCTGGAATGAAAGCATCCACCCACAGAAATGAGGGGTGAGAAACTGGAGACTAAAAAGGAGGTACGTTTGGCATTCCAGAGAGTGGGACATGCATATTTGGGACATTCATAAATATGCGGTATTCCCGGTTGAGAATAAACACACAGAAAACCAGAGGATGAAGGGACCACTCTATGGGGGGTTGGACCTTGTTGGGATGTAATAAGCAATCAGGCACAAGATTCATAACTCTGGGAACATGACATGCCAGTCATGTCGTAGTCAGTGGTCTAATAAAGGAGATCCAGAGTCTGAAAACATAGAGATCTGGACTTGGTTACCCCATGCTTGATGTGCAAAAGAGCATGCCACTTGACAAAACACATATGGAGCTGAAGAAAAACTGAACATCAGTGCCCTGAACTGGAAGACAGAACGCTAGTGGAAGAACTGAAGAAAAACAATGTGACACTGGGGCAAAAACCCACCAAAGTGATAGGTAGGACTCCAGAGTGAAGTGAGGTGTCTCTAGATAAAAAAACAGCCAAGAAAGAGCTATGATGGGACTCCAATCTCCCAAGTATTTTGGAGACAACAAACAAATGGGAGTAAAATTCCAGTTAAGTGGGCACCACCTGTTTGATAGCTCCTTTGTGTAGTAGGTCTCTAACAGACTAGGCAAGATGGTTGGATGAGGTACAATCCCGAGGAGAAGGGAAGGGGATCCGTGAAGTGGATAGGGGGGTTGAGTAAAATGAAAGGGAGAAACCCACAGACAGAATCCGTAGAGCCCATGAAACTAAACATATTGAGAAAAAGTACTCATTACTAATGAACTAACAAAATGTAGAAGCATGTAAAGTCTACAAAATAAATCAAAATAACAAACAGGAAAAACTATGAAATTTGAGCTAAAACAGAAAACAATAAGTAACACCCAAAGTACAAAACCACTAAAGGAACTTAAAAGATAAATGACCCTTAAATATCAAACATACAAATCCACCTAAGGAATCTATGAGAATAGAAAGATACCCAGTTAACAATACAAAATTTAACTCTAATCCACAATTAGACGTGACTAGCAGTAAAGAAAAAGGAACTTACAAATAACTTAACATTAACAGTGAAAAGAAGTAAAATGCAAACAAAAATAAAAGAATAATCAAAATCTAAATGCAAGTTTAAACTAAATTAACCTCTGTGGTAAAAGAAGTGTAAAAAATCTAACTTACTCAACACTGAGCAGAGAAGACATGAATGACCTAAATTATCAAGTGAAAAAAATTAGGTCCATCCACACAAGCTCATATAAAGTCACTAAACATGGGTATACCTACGGGAAGTGAGAAATACACACTGAAAAATGTAACACAGATCTCCTGGGAAAAGAACAATACCTAGTAATAACAAAAGAACACAATATCACGTGTAGCAATTAGTGAAAAAAAACACAGTAAACGGAACAAACTGTCAGAAATGTGATATCAGAAAAACTAGTTTTGACACATTCATGCATCCTCTTCAGTCTCACACTGTTTTCTGGCAGGAAAAAACTGGTCAACAAACACTTACATGACTCTTGATCTTGGATTTTCCTTAAAGACACAGGAGGTCAGGAAGTTGTTACGTTTAAAGTGACCTTGGGAGGTGTTGAAATTAGACAAGCTTTTGATGAAACAACTTTTGAGAATTCTTCTTTTATGTAGTTATTCGTTTTGTATAAAATTTTTGTTGATTTCCAATCAATTTGATGGCCAGAATCTCTCATGTGAAGACAAATAGCATTGTTTTGGTTTCCATATTTTATGTCTTTTTTTTTTTATGTTTAGAAACTCTTGTATCAAAACTTCTTCAAGTTTCACCAATATAACCTTTCTCACAGAATTGGCATGGTATGATATAAATGCATTGTTTTTTTATCTTCAGGTGTTTTTCTGTTTGAAGTTAGGTTATTTTTAATGCTGTTTGGATA